TTATTTAGATGTTTGTTATGCCTGAATAGTGATCCGGAACATCCTGTGCAATTACCCGGGGGTTGCTACCGAAACGCTGTTCAGTTTTTTTTTTTTTTTTTTTTTTTTTAAGTGTATTGTAGCATTCTGAGGATCTCGAGAAAGAAAATTCAACTCGCGTACCGTAATCTCTTCACTTGATTAGAAAATATTAAGTAGTGGGTTTAAGTAGGGTATTGTGAGCATAGAAATGCTATTCTCATAAGCTCATTATCGTTGAATTTTTTAACAATACACTACACTGAGAAGGGATGGTGTAACCTTTATTGGTGTGATTCCTTTCAGTCTTTTACAAATAGGACGACACAGATAAGGTCGGGGCAGTTTTTCTTTTTGAATTTTTAATGATCATAGTACGTAATCTAGAAATTTAAATTTCTGTTTGAGTGTTGTGAAACCTGGTTCGCATAGATTGGTGCCACAAACTTTGCATGACCAAAAATTTATTCAATTATCTTTCACATGCGTTATAATAAAAGCAAGCCGACCAAAGGCCATATCATTAGTTCATTAGACGCATCCGGTTTATGAACTTTATTCACAACGCACATTCAGTTTAGTTGATTCGAAGATTTGAAATAAAAATAAATTTGGTATCACGCTCCAGACGCTGAGGGTAGGAGTTCGGAATTCCCACAAAGACCATAGCCAAAAGTTAAATTTATTTTGGTTCATTGTCATGAATGTGTGAAAACAATTCTGATTCGTAGTTTGAAACACACATACACACACAAAAAAAAAAAGTGGTGTCCGATATCATAAACTTTTATTTCGCTCTGGGGTCTCATATAAAGTAAGCACCATTCAAAAAATATAGTAATAAAGCTGGAAAGTTATGCATTTACTAACTGCCTTAATTTAACCTTTGGAAATATGAAAATGGTGTAGAGACTTTCGAACTCTCGATCCTGCGTTGAAAGTAAATTGGGATTGTTACTGTCTTTTATCTAGTTTGATGAGGATGAAAATAGTTTCGCAATATAGATAAAAAAAAGACAGATGCAAATGCGGCATTATATTTTAAATTTGCATATGCACAGGTGCACGCTACTGTGTTATAAAGAGACCATAGGATATTTATGTTTTTCTCTCAGAATAGAAGGGCTATATCTAATCAAAACTACTGTGTGGTGAAAAATATCTTTTGGGTAACTGAAGCACTAAAAGTATGAGCTCGCTAATACAGTCTCGAGACGAAAAAAAAAAAAAAGAATGCAGACGTCCTGTTCCCGCTGACACTGCTCCAGAGTGTACAGTCAGCAAAGAAGATAACACCACGGTAACTTTTTTTTTTTTTTTTTGTGCTTGTGCCATTGATTTGTGAATTAAAATGGGAAGAAGATTCACGAATTGGAAAGTGCGGCAAACACTCATGCGAGGGTGACTTAAAGGAACTGTTCAGCAATTTCATAGCTTTGCTTAAATAATTTGGGAGTTGGTGTCTCGACTTTTTTGATGTAAAGAAAAAAAAAACCCTTTTTCCTGCATGTTCTAGTTTTTATTTTAAAAATGGAGAAAGATTGAGGTTTTCGGCACCTCTCAACTCCTTCACCATCTTCCGAGTCACGTGCGCTGTGACGTCGATGGGCGACGCGCGGGGTTCCGGTGAAGCTCTCTCTACGGCCATCACTGAACAGCCAGAACTCACCCGCTCGCAACCACGTGAACACGTGTTTGCACAGAGCGAGCAGCATGGCGAAAGGAGGAAAGTCTCATTCGGGTCCCGCCATCCCCGTCCGGCTCTGCCCACTTTCCCCTCCGGCTTCTGGTGGCTGTTCGCGGTAGCAGACAGAACTGACGGTTTTGTTGACCTCGGATAGATGGCGCCAATAAAACTCCGGATAATAAAAGTTTTGTCGATGATACCCACTTTTTGACACATTTATATTTATGTCGGAACGACAATATTTATAGAAAAGTTACCTTTTATCGAGAAGGTATTTGCGCAACTTCCTAGCTTTTTACAAGTCCCCCATTGACGTCATGCCGCGTGGTTCTCATGGCCGCCGCTCGCGGCTGCAGGTCGGGAAACATTCAAATTTTTGCCTCGCCATTACGCGGCGGAATCTCAACATTTTGAAGGAAGGAGATGTGTTTTCTGTCCTTTTGTGACAAGATAAACAGTGTCAAAAGTAGAAGATGCAAATTCTTACAACGTTAAAATCGTTGCACAGCTTCTTTAATAAAACAAAAAAAGTAATAAGCTGTTCTCAAACTGTGCTTTGCCGTTTTTTTTTTTGTTTTTATTTGTTCACTGTTAATTTTTTATGAGTGCCTACCGTTCACGACTTTGTGAGTCCTTTCCTCCCTTCACTGAGGCAACTATGATTCAGACTCCGGGGACGACGGTGGTTTGTTTGCGTTGATGGGCTTCCCCAGTCTCCTTCACGTGGGCGAGCCGGCGACGTCAGTACCAGTTCGGACGCAAGCCACCAGTCAAACGCTCCTTAAAAAAGAAACAAAAAAAAAACAAAAAAAACACCAGCTTGCGTGGGTCATTAATGTTTTTGCCTGACTCTTCACTGCGCGGCCCCGTGAGTGCGTACAAAACATCGGAGCATTTCTGAATTTCGGCCAGACAGTATTGAAGGACACTAAACTTTACCACTTAGGTTATTGCGACGAATAAGGTCTTACCGACGCACTAGTAGTTTTTATGGCATTATTTTTTTTAAGCGAAATAAACTGAAATACTAGTATTTTCTGACTCAAATTAACTGTGTTGCGCTGTTAGCGCGGAACTGTTAGTGCGGATCAGAAATTGAGTTTCCCTTTTTCTTTTCTCAGAACTGAAAGGCTGTTATAAAAGAAGTCGCAGGCCTTTGCGCCCCCAATCGGTATATTTTGGCGCTCATAAGTAAAGTCTGCTAAATTGTCAATAAAAAAAAATATATATATTTTGAAAGAGTACATATGTCTTTTATGCGCGAAAGTGTTGCGCAGTTTAAGTCTTGAGATTTCAAGAAAGAGTGGAAACATCCGGCTCTTTACCGAATTTTTAGTTTCTGTTTTTTTTTTTAATGCATGCATACGGCGTCACTACAACAGCTGCAACGAAAAATATGAAGACACACAATAAATAATTTATTATAACATATCTTTTCTACATGGCAGGGATGGGCAAAATACATGCAAATATGTATCGAAATACAAATACAAAATACTTCGTCAAAAATGTATTTAATTACAAATCTAATTACCTTTCCGAAAAAGCATTTAAATACAAGATACAAATACAACCAAATGTATTTGGTCTCCTCCAAATACTTTTTCAAATACATTCCTCAAACTTTGCGTCAGCGACTTCAGGGCACCTGCAACGGGTTTCTGGGTATCTCAATTTAATTTTACATCGCACAATCGGTTATTTAGCGTGCGAGGCTCTATACTCGGTTACAAGTCAAGGTAGGAGAAGCTCCTCCCACAAGCGTCATGCGCTTGTTTCAAATCTCTCCGCAGTCGAAAGAAGTGTTCACTGGAAACGCTCCTTGTTCCGCTTCAATAGATTCCAACTTGTCTCCGATCCCACTTTCTAAGAAAGCGACCTTTGTATTCATTGGAGGAAGAACAGAGCCCCTAAAAGGGCAGCCTTTGTATTCATCAAAGGGAGAAGCCAATCCCCGAAAGCCATATTTGTTTTCATCGGAGGGGGGAAACTCTAATCTCCCTCTTGTGGCTTCCACAATGCTAAGTCAAAGTTGAAAGTCACGGAAACAATGGGACGCTTTTGGATGCGGAGGTGGCGGAGGGATATATGAGTCGCTTTGAGGGGCATTTGCCGCTACCTCCTTAACCTGTAACCGACTAGAGTAACATGATAGAAATATAATCACAAAAAAAAAAATGTAATCGGCTTGGACGTAATAGGTGAAAAAAGTACAGAGCTGCAAGCAGCTTTCTTTTTTTTTTTTTGTCGATCATACATTTTGGTATAGACCAACAAAGAACCGAGACGACCGAGACACGCAGCACTAGCTAGAGAATTTTTTTGTTGTTGCAACTCACACCAGTTACGAAAATCTGGACGACCCGTGCATTTAGAATGTTCCAGGCAAAAATATAGATGGAAATCAGGCTGGAAAGCATCACAAGTTGTCACAGGCACTTATATAGCAAGTCTGCCTGTGAACGTCCATTTCGTCACTATTCTTGCTCTGGACTAGCACCGTAATCACAAAGTCACTGAACGCTTGTGCTTGATTGAGAGACACTGCATTCGGTGCAGAACGTAGTTTTCTTCCTGCTCTGGACAGTGACAATAAATTTGAGGGATGTCTTTTCGTCACAAAATTGTATTTAATTACAATTGTATTTGAAATACCCACATTTTAGTATATAAATACACACATCAAATACATTACCCAATTTGTAATTAAATACAAATACAAAATACACATAGTATTTGAAATACGTATATCAAATACTTGTATTTGAAATACTGCCCATCCAAGCTACATGGTGCTTTGGATTTCTATAGCTGGAAACCGGGATTTCAAAATGAAGGCATAAACCTCTAGGAGCACGGAGGTTTTGAAGGCGGTCATAAGTAGGTCCGAGGACCATTAAGTACATGTGAGCTCCATGTGGTAGAATGAGAGCCGACGTCGAAGTCACCACAGAGTCACAATATATTGATGCCATATGACGGCCACCATAGCGGCGTTCAATGCTTTTTGACGTCATCTCGGGATCTACTAGGCTATTAGCGAACGAAACATTAAATCAGTAAGTAGAAAGAGCGCAATAATACATTACGCAGATATTATTGGCATAGACTACCTTCCGTTTCCCGGTTAGCAACACTGTAGTCATGGTATGCATTAATCCGAGGAATAAAAACGCACCCCAAACGTAACCCCGGTGAAACAATAAACTGTTCAGTCGCAATCGCGAAAATGAACATAACGTCGAGTTATTGATGGTGCAATTTGTCAAACTAAAGTTTTTTGTCGCTTCGTTAGATGGAAAGCAAACATGAACCTTCGCTTTGTCGGTCGGTTAGTGCGTAGTTCTGCATTGTATATGACTGATTTCTATTTTGGGGGTATAGTTTTAAGTAAGTTTCAACATATCTGCTCAGGTGCAGCGATTGCTGATCGTGGCAACCTTGGTACGCGCCGTGGTTGCCGAGTCGGCCAACAGTATCTTGCATCGAGAACAAGACGTGAGTACAATGCTGAGTCGACCGAGCTTGGGGTGTTATGATGTGTAAGACATGAACATTATAAAACAGCGCACAAAACACGGAGGAAGAGAAAAGGACAGGTAGAACAAAACAGCGCTCTTTCGTTCTACCGGTCCTATTCTCTTCACCCGTGTTCTGTGCGCTGCTTTACCATGCTGAAGAACCAACTAGCTCAAATCACTACTTTACTACGGTGTATAAGAGTTTATTAACGTCTTTAAAGGGCTCTGCTCTTTAAGACAGACATTTTATTAGAGGGATACAATTTTCAGTTCGTCTTTTTATGCCAATGGCTGAATGTACGCGCACTAAGCGTCCTAAAAGAAAAATTGAGCGTGCCTTTTTATTAAAACATGATTAAATATAGGGATACGATATTTTTAGATCTGTCTTATGAAAAGAGTGTTGCGCGGTTTGTTGCAGAACGAAGTATGTTTCCCCACTGGCATCTGTCACGAGTCGACAAGGAAGAAGGTCGTGAGATAAGTGGATTGCGAGGACAACATTGATAAAACCTCCCGTGTACAAATTAAAAGATTCCGAAACTTCATTAAGTAGTAATGCTTTGTTGCATTACAAGATCGAAAACAATTAATTCGACAAATACTGTAACATGGAGTTAACACGCGTCTTGTGCAATGAGGAAAGAAGCCACTTGTTAGTTTAATGGGTTGTCTTCGTAAACTGAGTTTGCGTCATAAAAAACGGTCTCATTAGAACCAGTCTAGCACCCATTAACATATTTTTCTATAAAACGGTACCATATATTTTTCAAATAGTTGAACCCTACATTTTTTATTTGAAGCATCGTTAAATAGCTATGATTTAAACTACAGTATTTATTTTGTCTTTCTGAACTCATTATAATGAAATCGCTACACTCATAATTAAATAAACAGATAAATTATTTTTAATAATATTTTTATGATTTTAAACTTATGAAAAATTACTACCAAACTGGCGATTTTTTTTTTTGCTTCAGATGAATGTTTTGTGCCATTTTTGCTGTAAATTGTTTTTTACCTAAAGTGTTTCTGGAAGGAATGTTCTTAGCGCACATAAAACCGGAAAACACCAAGTCAGTTATGTTAAGGTTGGCATATTTTAGCTTGACAATGAGATAACAATGAAACGGATTGGCCCGTAGATGCAGAGACATTTTTTACTAAATGTTCTATAGAAAATAGTTTACCACTTTAATACCAGCCGATATAGGCCTGCCGGTACCAGCGCGGCAATATTTGTACCGGCCGGTTATAAGACGGTGCAATTATTACCGTATTTTGGACGCACCCCTTCATCGTGTCATATTCCGTTACCCTCATAAGAATAAAAAAAAAACAAGAATACTGAAGGATGTTAACTATTAAAAGCGATTGCAGCGACACAGAACGAACATTAGGGAACTGAAGCGTGCAAGAAACGACAACGCCGATGACAAGCCAGACATCGGAAGGCACGCGCGGTTTAAGCAATTTGATTAAGTCCTTTTCTTAGCACATTCTGCAGGCAATCGAAGCATTGCAACTATTATAATTGTTGATACACGCCTGTATACGTCACACATGTTTAGGAAAATGGCTACATTACATTTTATTATAGTAAGTTAATTTACAGAAACCTTTTAATCCGGAAGAGAAGAATGCTGAGAAATTAATGCTTGGACCTTCTTCCTTCGGTTTGTCGCCATCATTTTTGTTTTCAGTCGATGGTGGAACTGTTGTACAGGTTATGTTTTATTTTATCTTATTAAAAGGCGGCAAGCTTTACGCATGCGCCTAGACGGGGATGCCTGCCTTTGTTACTTTTTACATAAAAATGCTGCTTTTTCTTGTCCATTGTCGCTACAACTGTTACTTTTAAAATTATAAGTCCTTAGCTTCCTTCTTTGAAAAGAACCGCAGAGGGCTCTGCATTTTACGTTAAAGTTCAACTTTCTTCCCCTCTGCCATTGGTACAGTAGAGCACTTGTACTTTTCTACCAATAGCTCGGTATATCCCCGCAGGACTATGGCAACTACGAGTTCGGTTTCAACATCGAGGGCCTCGCTTGGGACCAATTCCAGAGGGAGTCCGGCGACGCCCTGGGCCGCAAGATGGGCGCCTACGGCTTCCGGGGAGCCGACGGCCGGCTGCGGCTGGTCGAGTACGTGGCCGACGAATTGGGCTTCCGGGCCAAGGTGCAGACCAACGAGCCCGGAACTAAGCCCAGCCGCACGGCCACCGTCATGGTGGACACCGCTGCACCCGGGTCAGTCCACGAGGCGAGCGCCAAGACGGCCATACACTCTCCGCCCCCGACGAGACTCCTGCGCAGGCTTTCACCGGCCCCGCCCCTGCTGCCCGTCGGACACGCAAAGGTCCCAGAAGCGAGCGAGCCGTTGGTCAAAGATGTGGCCCCTCCCAAGGCGGCCACGGAGCATGCGGAACTCAAGGTTCCCCCCGTCAAAAGCGTCGCCGCCAACTTTGAGTCGCCCTTGCTTCCGATCGGCGCCGTCAAAATGGATTCTCACGCAGCGCTCCGCCATTACAGTCCGAACATCTTCCACCTCGGACGCCCGGTCAATCTTGTGCATGGAATCCAACAACACCCCCGGGTTCCTGTGGGTCCGTATCGTCCGCGGGGAGTTCTCAGGGACGGGGACACCACGCGAGGCGCTGCGCTCGTGCCCAAAGAAGTGAACGGAAGGATCGTGCAGCAGGTGGCCCTCATTAAAGCCGATGGGACCCTCAGCACGGGGGGACTCAACACGCCAGTCCAGTACGACGAACAGAGGAGTGCCGGTCCTTCTCACGTGCCTCAGAGGCGCATTCCATTGCAGGTGCCCCCGTTTCAAAACCCCAACATCGGAAACATCTTCCCGATCAACACGGTGCACCCTGGCAGCTTAGGGTTCCAGTTCCAGCAGCAGCCTTTCCCAATCTCGTATGCCACTGTCCCCTACCAGGCTGGATACGAAGCGCAGAGTCCTGGGCCGGCTGCTGTTCTGGTTCCCCAAATTTCAGACTTCCAGAGGCTGCCCGATGGCCTGGCGGCAAACTACTTCCTTCCGAACCCTCCACCTGCTGCTCCAGAGATAGATAGGCCGCCCGTGCAGCCACATATAGCGCCACAGGTGCCGACGCAGCGTGGTCGCTTCGTAGATCCGGCCCAGGGTTACCCCGTCCAAGGCCGGGGGTACCAACCACCGCCGTTCTCTCATCTCTTCCCGTACCAGCATCAACAGCCACCTCCACTTCCGCCTCAGCAGCCGCACCACAATCTTCATCAACACTCGCACCCGCAGCAACACCTTTACCAGCAACCATTCCAGCACCCACACATAATCGAGCGACAACACCCTCATCATCATGCGGCGCAGCAACGGGGCCAGTACGAACAAGCGGTACACGGTTCATCAGCTCCCGATAGCAGGAGCGTGCCAGTGGCAGGCCCCATCTACAACTATCCGACTGCTGGGCATCAACAACTGTTGCAGCAACCCAATTATGCGCCTGTTCAGCTCTACTCTCCACACCGTCGTGGGTCACCATGATTTCCCTCCCGCTTAAAAAAAACCAAAGACTTCAAAACACAGGAGCTCTCCTCCGAGAAGACGGCAATCCCGCTTCACAGCGTGTCCGTCAGCTCCGTGAGCCAACGGTTCCTGGACTCAATGTTGCTCGTTCCAAAGCATATTTAAGTTTAACTAAGGCCGGTCAAATATTTTCATGAACAGGAGATTAATCGTCGCGATATCCAGTTGAATGTAACCGGCTCTGAGAGCGCTTGAGTGAATTCCAGTGCGGTCGACTTGCGCATGTCCCAAATCAGGTTGCATAAACCAGCCACTAGTTGAAATGAGCTAAGTCAGTGTCGTCTGCAGGGAGTTCAATACCTAGAGGCTGCCTATAAGCTGCACTGAGATAAATTAGCATGCAATTCATACATGGGAAGGAGAGTCGGTTGGTGAGAAGTTTATGACTCTCATAATTTTTGTTTTTTTGCAAGTGAGTTTAAAAGCTAATTAAACATGTCAAAGGGTAGTGTAAGCAACACTCGCTAAACTTTCCGCGAGCTTCACAAACAAAAATAGTAGAGGAATGACACTTTTCTCTGTCGGTAAGACAAGAAGTGTAGTTTTTAAGAGAACGACTTTGACACCTAAATTAATCATAATATCAGCTAATGGGTTTTTACAACATAAGAACACCGGTATTACGCAAAACTGTATTTTAATTTGACTGCTGCCCAGTTGAACATTGCTTGCTTTGTCCAGTTTCTGGGCCCCCTGGATGTATAAAATTCTGAAGTTCTCTTCACAAGGAATTCAGGAAGCGTTAACGTTCTATAGATTTTTTTTATTGTTCCTCGTGGCATCTACCGGTACCGTGAAGGGAAATTAGTGTTCCCACAGAGCAATGTCGTGCATGTTCCTCAAAGTATGAAAGTAAAGCCTGTGTCACACGTCGCTTATTGAAGACATTCGTTTTACTAGTTTCATATTTAATAAAGAACAACCCGTTGTCATTACATACAAAACCGCGTGCCTTTTGATCTATGTTATAAACAACAGGGAGTTTTGAATAAGATGCACCCGAGAACATTTTAAAAGTTCTAAAATAAAATAAGCGATGAGCTGTTCTTCCGAATAATAATTTTGTTTATGTTGGTATAGGGACTGAAGAAAAAAAAAAGACTATTCAGGAAACTCGATGAACAAAATTCTGCCTGGAAGTAAATAAACGTAGGTCGGTGCACTTCCCGCCCTGCAAACAAATGTAACGTGTTCTAAATGCTGCGAAAAAAGAAGAAATTTTACTGTACGGTTTTTTCAATTTCCCTAAAACAACACGTTCAAGGAACGCCGTTTTCTGGAATGTCGTTGATGCCTACCTACTACAGAAATTCGCTCGATGGCGGAGGCACAAGGAAGCTTCAGATCTACATCTATTCTGAGTGATAGAAAACTGTCAGCAAAAACAAGTGAAAGTAAATAAAGGCGATTTGCAGCCCGGAAGCGAGTATATGCTTTGAAGTTGTGAAACAGATATGAGGTAATTTCGCTGAATGCTAGTCTTCTAGGAATAATAAGGTATCTTCTTGTAGGACCCTTTGTAGCCGCCTCGGTTACCCTGCTGGTGGCACCTCAGGAGGACTGCTTGGAAAACTAAAAAATTGCGATTTTAATATGCTGTTTCTTAAAAAAAAGAAAAAAAAAAAGTGCGGGAGACGCATTTAGGTCTCACCATTTCTGTAACTTTACGGATGCAATTATACCAATGCAAAAAAAAAAAAAAAGCAGGGTGGTTGCGAGTTAAGGTCTACAGATCCACAGTCATCGTATTCAAATCCCCGCAGAGATGTGCGCAATTTCGCGGAGGATTATTCAATTCAAGTCAATTATTTTATATATATTTTTTTTAAATCAAGAATTGATTAGACCCATAGCATTAAAGCTAGTGTGCGGTCCAAATGAAATAAATTTCACATTGCGTCAGGCAAACAGATAACAACAAACAACAAAATGAACCTAACTAACCTAATGAAATGTCTAGGTAATTCGCACAAATCTTATTTTAAATGAAAAACATCCATTTTTGTTTTTAAACGAGGCAAAAAGTTTGATTTTTTTTTGCACATTGGTGGGTACTGAATTTCAAATTAATGCGCCTCTGTATACTATTAGTCTTTTAACATAAGTATTTCAACATGGAGACAACTTGAAGTTAAGATTGGTAACAGCCGTCATTTGGGCTGTTACCAATCTCCATGAGAGTTAAATTTAATGAGAATGGTTCATTTGATGCCATAATTTTATGAACAGTCTCCGCTAGCGTTAGTTTATGCAAATAATGTGCAGGCAAATCTCGCATTGACTGGTATAAAGGTCTACTTAGGTCAGTTGGTTTTCAGAATTTGATTATTCTGAGCGCCCGTTTCTGCAGACGAATAACCGGATCTAGGTAGAGATACGGACCGCCCTAGGACTCGATGCAATAACTTAGAGTCTTAGATGGCTGTGCGCAAGCGAAAAATATAGTATTCGCAAAATGAACAATTTAATAGATTCACGTGCCTTTCACAGTGTGTAACAGCCGTATGTTAGCTTTGAACATAAGATTTTAATTTGCCTTTTCCATTTATAGCCGACTTAAATAGGACTCGTACATATTTGTATGAAGAACCATGAATCAACTCTTATCTAAACTGGTCGGGGTTTATTTCCTTTTTTCTTGAGAGAAACACTGTGTATTTATTTTTCATATTAAGGGTAATTTGATTACTTGTGAACCATGGTAGGACTCTGGAAAGCTCCTCGTATATTTTACATTCTAGTTCAGCTACCGAATCTTCTACAAAGACCAGTGCCGTATCATCCGCGTACATTAATGCCTCTGAGTATTTTAATCACCACGGAAAGTCATTGACGTAAAAAGCAAAAAAGAAACAAAAAAGAAAAAAAAAAGATTGGCTTGAAGTACAGATTTTCTTGGCACCGCAGTTAACACAGTTTGTGGGTTAGAAATATATTAATAATTACCACGGATTGTCTTCTATCAGAACGATAACTATTGAACAGTTCGGATATTTAGCCACTAAAGACATACTTATGCAACTTATTCTGTAAGGCGATGCGATTACCTGTGTCAAAAGCCTTCTTTATATCTTGAAACACAACCACAACAATTTTATTGTCATAAAGAGCCTTATTAAGAAGTTAAGTTAAAACAAGAATGACTGAAGAGGTAGATCTTGTGAGGCCTAAAACCGTGTTGATTGCGGCAAAAATATTTTACTTATTTACAAATTCATTTATACGCCCACAAAGTGCTCACGGGTAAAATATGATGTCACTGTGTTAATGAGATTTTGTCCCACGGCATCAAATGCCTGGGGCGGTTAAAATTAATCCTTACTCCTACCTAGGGCGTGTCGTGTGCACTTCATTGAGTTGGTACGCAAACCCTGAACCTTTTGCTCTGTTTCACGCAACCATACATAGTTGCTAAACGCGCTGGCACATCAACGTGGCTGGAAATGACAAATCCGCGAGCTCTGTTACCTTAATCAATGTAAACTTTAGACGAGCCCAGTGTGGACGTCTTACCTCAAACGGATGCATGTCTGATCGACACCTCTCTTCGATAATGCTCTTTCCCTCCCCTTCGGAATGTCGCCCAGCAGCTGTGCTGCACTGCACATGACCTACAAGGTGTCAACAGGACGCGTCAAACGTCCGTGCGTCCGGGCAGCACCATCTCTACTCGCCGTCGACTACTTTGTGCTACGTTGTCAACGTAGCTTCCTCAGTGCTCCAACTCTGTCGGCTAGTTGCCCGAGCGAATGGGAATGAGACGCAAGGCGACGCCTCGGCCACCTGCTCTCGCAGCAGCGTCCGGCGGGAGCACTGTGGAAGCTACGCTAGCCTTCACAATGCAGCACAAACGTGAACTCGGTCCAAGAATAATCAAAGCCCGTGCACTAGCATTTTGAGTCCATCAGAGTGAGGTAGAGCGCAGACAAAGATTGGACACCAGAGCTGCGTCAGAGTTTGGCTGAGCCTACAGTCGGAGCGCCGAAGGACTCTCGGCGCCGGGCTCGGACCCTATGGCTGAGTTGGCGCTATTCTAGTGTGATGACGTAATGCAAAAATATACATGGCTGCTTACGGGCTCTGATTATTCCGGTTGGTTTTGGTCCGAGGCCGGTTGGAAGGTTGGACTGCCGTGTGTGGCACCCACACTAGAACGAGGTAGGAAGAGGAGCATGATCAACCAAGAACTGCCGACACCTCCTTAATAGCAATGCCGTAGTCTTGCAGTTTTTACATCACCTACAGGAGGTCAGAGCGGGTCGCATAGATTGGGCATGAATGCTGCGCCAGCGTTGGGCTGGCAGTAGTGCTCATTCAGCAGGGACAGGAGCCCTGCCTTGCGCCGGCTTATAGGACGTGACGTATACACACACACACACACACACACACATACATACATACATACATACATACATACATACATACATACATACATACCTACCTACATACATACATATTTCTGACAAAAATAAGAGATAAATATTGATGGCCCATATAAAAGTATTCTGCTTGTGTATGGGGCCAGGCCACCAAATAAATGAATCTCTATTAGGTAAATTAATATAGCCGTGACAAAAACGAAACGCATCTTAATCTCACAAAGACAAGCAGAAATAAAAACTGAGAACATTGTAGAAACCAGTTATTTACCTATAACAAAACATTTGAACAGTACCTTTTTATCTAGATGCACTGTTGCACAGAACCGCGTTCTAAGGAACGACGTTCCTATAATGCGTTCCTTTAGTGAGGAACGCCGCCGTTTCATTTTGCGTCGGAGGAACTGGAACGTTGTCGCGAAAACGACAATAGGAACGGCGGTTTTTAGTGCGAAAGCATTAAGTGTCCCATGGAGCGAAGCCGGTGCTGTCTGTAACCGTCTGTAGCAGCTAAACGGCAGTTAAATTCTCATTGGCCAAAAGCACAGCAACGCAGATGCATCGTCACGGAAGCCGTGGAGCCGTCGGGGTCCGA